AAAAAGGCAGTTTTGACAAGGAGTCTCATAATTAATCTTTAAGTATAAATGGATGATTCTAATATAATTCCTAAAAGCATAAGGTGGTGTACTGAGACTGACAGAAATTGGAGATGATAGTGGCTTATGTATTGAATTTTCAGTTACAGAAAAATAATTTGGGGAAACCAGCATTCATGGTGAGTCTAGTTTGTATTTCTCTATGAAGACCTTAAAATCTGCTGAGTAAATCTTATATTTCTTCACAAATAAATAAACTATGTATAAGGTAAAGTATGTGTTAATTAGCTTAATTGTTAATTAATTTTATGTACACATATACCAGCCTAACAAAGTAATGTAGTAGAGATAACACAGTTTTTGAGAAAAAAAATCAAAATATATTTGGCCTTTTATAATAGTTTGTAATGTATATTGTATTGATAAACTGCCATGCGCTGATTGAGCTCACCGAGAAGTTGGCTCTGGAAATAGGGTTCAGCCTCATGTGGTGATATATTGTTTGTAATTAATAAAGCCAATGGAGATAAAAAAAAATTCATTGCTAGCCACAGCCATGCAGTGGTGATACACAACTTTAATTCCAGCAGCCATACAAGGTAGCCGTAGAAGCCAGGCGGTTGTGACACACACCTTTAATCCCAGGACTAAGGAGACAGGTAGATGGATCTCTGTAAATTCAAGAGCACCCAGGACTACACAAAAGAGAATCAGTCAAAAAGAATAACAGTGTTGGGAGATGTCATTCTGAAAATATGTTTCTCATATTGGTTAATGAATAAAGCACTGTTGGCCATTAGGAAAGCAAGATAGGTGGGACTAAGAGACTAGGAGTAGAGAGGAAGAAGTAAGGGGGAGTCAAGATGTAGGGACTTGAGAGAAGTCCAGACCCTCTATACGGTAAGATAAGACCACATGGTAACACTTAGATTAATAGAAATGGGTTAATTTTTAAGACAGAGCTAGATGATAAGAAACCAGTAACTGACTAACAGCTTTATATCTAATACAGTGTCTCTGTGTGTTGTTTGGGGCAGACACGGCTCTGGGACCAGGCAGGTGGAAAAACTACTTATAACATAACAGAACTCACCCCTTTAATCCCGGCATTGCACTCAGAATTCATGGAGTCAGCATTGCCATTTAAGTCTGAGGTGACAGTAAGAGCTGCTTTGTTTTTCTATTCTTTCAGCTTGAACCACAATTTCATTCCCATGCTACAGCCCCATGTCCTTTTTCAGACTCAAAAATGTTGTGTCTTTTGATGCCCTTCATTTAAGGATGGGCTGCTCACCTACTCCAACTGGGACAGGGAGAGCAAAACATTCAAGAGTAGACATTGTGTTCTTGAAACAATAAGAATGTAAAGCCTTCCCAACAGATGTTAGTATTGCTTGTCTTATGAAAAAAAGTGCCTGCTGTGTGAAAGGGGAGGTGGAGTTCAGCATGGGAATCTCTTTCAGGGGCAGAAAGCTCAAATTGGAACTCAGCTCACATTCCCCAGCTGGTTTCTGCCGGATATGAGCATGTCATTTGATGTTTTTATCTTTATCTGCAGCTATTTGTTTTTTTTTTTTTTAACTTGGAAGCCTCACCAGACAGAACATTCTGCTCTCTTGTACCCCAGTGGGACTCCACAGGACTCTCCAGCTTGCTGCACTTAAGTGGCTTTCTTACTATGTTTCTGTTGGGTGTTTGTAAACCGCTGGATTTGGTGATTTTATCCTGTTTTTTTCTCTCTCAATTTTCCTTCACTAATTTTCTCTACTGGATGTTTTGAATGACCAATTTGATAATACCTTTCTGTCTGTCTGCTACTTGCCATTTATTCTGCTTTTTGCTTGGTAAATACTTATCAAGTCACATGGAAGGGCTCTGTTATCCCAGAACCAATCCTCCAGTCTCATCCATAGACTGCAACAGATAACCAGCTAAATCTTTCCTTACCCCTTGCCCAAATTGCCCGCGGATCTCACAGACCACCCACTCTCAACCTCCCTTTCAGCATTGTATCCTAGTCCCCAAGTAAATCAAGCACCTCCTGCTCAACCACAGGCCATGCTTGGAAGAAAACTAGCCTCCAGTAACAGTAGGCATTCCATGAGAACAAACCAGCTGAGCAGGCCAGTATATCAGGCAACACGTAGCCACCACACTCTCTGAAAATCCAGAGAGGAAACAGAAGGAACAAAACACCCATCCAAAAAAGACAAAATAAGAAATCAGTACCTAAAGATGTAAACATCCCAAATGATAGTGGCAAATTCTAGATTATCATTATCAATGCACTAATAAATTCTATAGCTACAAATTATTCAAAAGAATAATGATACAAATTAGATTAGAGAAAAATACACACTGGTCAAATGTCCAATCCCAGTGAACATTTCAAACCTCAACACCAATGGGTTTAGAATTTTAATCACAAAGAAAATAACACAAATAGCAATTTTTAGAATTGCTTGATTAGTAGTTAAGTTCATGAAAAAAAAACACAGTCTTCAGTGATTAAGAGAAAAAAAATCATAAATGTCAAGTCATTTTCTGTTCAGTGTTTGTTCAGGAATATCTGCCAGGGGCTATTGAGAAATAGATTTTAAGTTTTGGGGAGTTTTTGGCCTTTTCAGTATCTGACTTGCTAAGTGTTTAAAGATTATTATAAGCTGATTAAAAAAAAAACAGTAGATAGACTTATGAAATTCTGATAAATGCAAATTATAAAAAAGTTAATAGTGGGAGTATTTTAAATGTAGTTTTAGAACAGCATAATAATTTTGCAGTAACAATTTTTATCAGTCTCAACTTTCTGAAACATAACATTACCCTGTTATTAAATAAATTTGAATACTCTGTTTTGTAAGTGATTTCAAGAGAAAATGGAATCAAGTGTTTTTAAACAAATGACAACATTAGCTAGATGAAACACTGGTAGTTCCTTTGCCATTTGAAAACCAAGTCCTTCAAATTTTCATTAATTCATAAGAATTAGAAACTTTACTTGATTGGGCAATATGTTGGGAATGTACCATTAAAAGAAACAAACAACTAGAGAAACCAGGAAAAAGTTTGGCATTCTTGAGAGTCACTTGAGAACCATCATCATCAAGTGTTCAGATGTTCCTGGGATGCCTTTCACATAAGGAATGGACAAATACTGGACAGCATTAAAAACAGTCCAACTTTTCTGAATAAGAACTCTGCAGTTAGAAGTGCAAAAATTCAGTCTAAACCATATATTGTGAAAAAAATTACAGCTAACATCACACCTGAAAAACAGCACCAATTCTATAAAGGCTCACAGTATATAATTTGATATTCAGAAATACAGAGAACCAAAATCTAAAACAGATGAACAATGCTTAAGTTAATATTGAGCACACTAAGCAAAGAAATTCATTTATATAAACAAAATACATAAACAAGATAAGTCATCTACTACCTATTGGCCCATTTATTCACATATAAATTTTTCCATAGGAAAGAAATTTTATAAACTGAAAAATTACCCTCACTTCTTTGAATAAATAGCTTTCAAAAATGTAATAAAATCTTTTTAGCATTAAATGAGAACATAACCTCTAGTGCTATATGTTTTTTATTAGTAGTGTAATGCTACATATAACAAATAAAAACTAAAGCTGGACCACCACTACTCCACAATTTTTGACACCTTGTGTATCCCCTATATGTTTATTCTAAATAGCATGATATGTATGAGTTAGACATATGGTATATGGGCATTTACAAACAAAATACTGAAACACACACACACATACATACAGAGAAATAGATGGATGGATGGGGAGATGGATAGACAGACAGATAGATAGAAACTAAATAAAACAAAGGTATTCTAAAAGCAAATAATCAACCAAATCAAAGATTGGATTTTAGCATTTGATTTTTTCCATATTATATAACTCTACCACAACCAACTGAAAAATCTGTTGTGAAGTGTCTGAGTTTGAAGCTAGAAAGGATGTATACAGGCTGCTCCAAAAAGCTGGACAAATGGCTCAAGCACAAACTTTGGAGAATAAATATTGTGGATAGTCTATGTAAATTTTATAACAATAATTTATTAAAATATCCATGGTACATGTATGTAGGTTCCAACACATTCACTTAAAATGACAGAGAATCAGTCTTAGTAAAGACTGTGAGCAATAGCAGGCAACATTTAAAACAAGAAGTGAAACCAAAATACCTTTTCCCAAATAAATGCCTTTTTTTAGAATAAAGTAGAAGTTTATAAATATTTTAGTGATAAACAAATGCTCATTATAAATAATATCACCTGAAGTTCATGAGCTATATGTGAATATAACTACATATACATGTATATATAAATAAATATACATATATGTGTGTGTATATGTAGCTCATGAGTATTGCATGTATATGTTATAAAATTTGTATACAGAATGGTTACATCATTTCATGAAAATTAGAATTATTATCATGTTTTATTTTGAGCATCCATCTATTAATTTACTGTGCAAAGATGATGAGATATATGCTATTTTAAAATGTTCACACTGAGGTGAATAGTGCCTAAATGTAAACAGTACCACAAATGAATGCTGGCAAATTTCTGAAGTAAAGTAAATAAATATTTTGGATGTCACTGACCACTTAATCTCTGTATCTGCTATTGCAGCGTGTTGCCAACTAAGTTGGTAATCCTGGCTACGTTCCAAAACACACTGTTGACAAGAGCAGGTGGCAGATGGGTTCAGCTTGTGAGCCATCTGTAGCTAAAGACCTGACCTTAGCCTCTGTTGATTCTTTTTACACCTACATAGCTGCTTTCCATATAATTTTCTCTTTTATAATATAATATTAAACTAGATTATTAAAGGTTTTTAAAAATTACCCTTCAATAAAAATGTTGATTGTTTTAAAATAAAGAATTATTTTCCTATTAATTTTCATACAAATAAGCCATATTTAATATGAGTATATTCATTGTATTTTATTAGATAATCTTTAATTCTTACCTTCCACAAGCTTTCCTGTGTGTTCTGCACTCCCACCAGGAAGAATCTTAGCAATATAGGCTCCAATTTCTCCTCTATGTCCAGGAATTTCTTTACCACCAACAATTCTAATTCCTAGACCATTACCTGTATTTAAAAATTAGCAAACCATTAGTAATAATTCAAGAAACAAACATTTATCAGAAGTAGGTTACACAAAGTGGATTAAATTCTCAGAAGCCAAGTATAACACTAAGAGTAGAAATTAGATATCAATAACAAAACTATATCTATAGATAATAATACATATGGTTATTGGGGATTAAGTATAGTCTACAGTGATTAGATAATTATTAAATGCTCTCTCAATGTTAGTCAATTTTTTTCAAATAGGAAATGTTTCCAAATTAAACCAGGTATATTTTTAAAAATTACAAAAGAAAATGCTCAGGAAAAACCCCAAAGTAAACAATTCAAATATGAAACTAAGAACAATTTGCTTCCACAAAGCTAGTCAAGGTTATTGTAAAATGAACAAATACAATCCCAATGAAGATATGACTTCATATTGTACTAAGACCATAACCTATGATTGATTTCTTCTCATTTCCATCTTTAACTCCTCATGTATACTGCTTGTGGCACAAGAAGATTGTTCCAGATTATGAATAAATTAGTCTTAGTTCTTTACTCCATAACCATATTGTTTCATTGTTACCAATCAATAATTATGAAAAAGAATTTTGATAGACATGTACTGTTGCAATCTAAGTTGCTGTGCTGTTTCTAAATAAACTAAAAACAAGTGAGAACAAGTTGTCCCAGGCATGTTTTGTGAAAAATGTAAAAAAAAAAAAAAAAAAAAAAAAGGGTTTTCCAGTAAAATATAATTAAATAAATCAGAACTCTTATCTCTAATAAACACTCAATTATCTATTAATTTAATTGAATTTTTAATTATATATTGGAAGTACTTTTCTCAAAGTTTTTCAGTCTCAAAATCTTTGTCCTCTCTCAATTTATTCTTCAAAATTAACACCTTGGCCAATGTCTGCAAGTTCAAGGGTTATACAACTAGTTATACTGAATCATGGGACTTTTCTGCCATTTCTATAGCAAAGATATATTCTTTTTTAAATTTATTTTTTAATTCATTTTACATTCCAACTACAGTTCTTCCTCCCACTCCTACTCCCCCCCACCTCCCTTCCAGCCCACCTTACATCCACTCCTTCCTTAGGGGAAGGACTCTCATGGGGAGTCAACAAAGCCTGATACATTAAGTTAAGGTAGCACCAAACCTCTCCCTCTGCATTAGGGTTGAACATGACATTCCAAAATAGGGAATAGGCACCAAATGCTAGCTCATGCAGCAGTGAAACATCCTTGTCTTACTATCAGGGGCCCCTCAGATAGACCAATCTTTACAACTGTCTCCCATATATGAAGGACCTAGTTTGGTTCCATGGAGTCTCCACAGCTGGTCTAGAGTTCATGAGTTACCACCAGCTTGGTTCAGCTATCTCTATAAACATATAATCTAATATCACACATCCTTCCAATTCATGTGATAATTATAGATGAACTTTCTGCTTCTTGTCCTTCATTCTCTTTCAAATTCGTTCCTTATTTTCTTCCTGTTTCTCTCCCTCTTTCTTCCTCTCCTGTCCCTTCCTTCCTATCCCAGCCCTTCTTCCTCACATCTACCTTCTCTTGTTTCCTCTTTTCTTTCCTCTTGTTTTCTCCATTTATCCCTTCCCTCTCCCTTCCTCCCTCCTCCATTCTTTCTGTTTTTTTTTTTCATAAGGACATATATTCTGACTACTAAAATATCAAAAACTGTTTAAGTTAAAATAATCAAACTCAATAACCTGTTTCTAAATCTTCTGTCATTAAGGATTCATGGTGAAGAAAGACACTACTCCTTCTTGTCCCACATTTAGCAGTTTTTCTGCCCCAAGGTTCATAGCTCAGCATTATTTATTTTTAAAGATATTGTTCTTTACTCTTTTTTGCAAAAAATTCCTTTATGAAACAAATTTAACATATTTGCTTTAATTTAAATAATCTGATAAGCAACAACACTCAAATCTAGCTAAAAGCCAGTAAGTCATTAGAATTTAGACTTTATGAAGTCATTAGGATATAATCTACAATAACATTTTAGGTAGTTGGCAGTCAAAGTAGTTTGTACATGAACATTGAAATATGAGGAATGAAAGAATATTTCTTGATTTTTCCCTAATTAAAAAATCTGCTTGGTACATCTTAAAATGCATAGTGATTGCCTTAATTACAGTACACAGATGATATCTTCACAAAAGCAACAATATGAAATACACAAAACCAGTCCACCTGAAAACTGAAGAGGCTGTCAGGAAGAACTATAATTCAGACCTAAAACCTCAAGGAAGTAACTTTTACATTCTGCTGCTTGAGGTTGAAAGAAGCATCCTATATTTAGAGAGGAACAAAGCTTGATTAGTGCATACATTGCAGATTGCAAGATCATGACTGGGGACCCCAGTAAATCCATAAAAACTGTAGTACAGTGAATGTGTATTGCTTCAATATCTTCCTTAATTTGTTAAGCAGTAATAGCAAATTAATATGAGAATAAAAGTTGCATTTTTAGTTTCCTGTGCATGATTACATGCTAATATTACCTTGTTACCAATACTTGTAAAATATTAATTTGTAGTACTGAGCAGGCAGTGAGCAATCAATGTTAGAGTATGGCAATTAGCAAGAAAATGGGCCATGTATATTTAATAATCTTTTGACTTCTAAAGCAGTATCATTTTTGCAGTGTTGGGGTTATTGAACTACAGGAATAGCAAAGATTCATCATATACATAGCAGCACTAAATAATGAATACATGGGTACTCAGTCTGTGCCTCCCCAAGTGAGACTAATAAATCAATACTAATGATGTGGAAAACAATGTGTGATCCTTGTGAATGATATTTTAGCATATGCTTTTAAAATAACATGGTTTCATTGGACTTTAAAATGAAGGATCAGGAAAAAATACTTCTTTCTGTCTTACATGTGAAGAATTGAGGCTTCTGTAAAATTTACTGGCAAGGAGTGAAACTCATACTCTTAATCCACACAAATGACTTATCAGTGCATTTTCTGTGTGGTCTTGGTTTAAGGCTGGAAGGAATCATTTTTACAGCAACCCATTCTCCCTCCTCTGCTCAGGTGTTGAGGGTGAGAGGACAGATTGCCACTGGATAATTGAAAGGAGAAATCATTAAAACAATGACAAACAATTGAGAGCCAGACTATGTTAGTGAAGGTTGTAAAGAAATATTCCCAGCTTTGGCATCCCCCATGTTATGTTGTACAAATAAGTTTAAAATGGTTAGTTTGGAATGATTATGATGTCAGTGTAATTTATATTTTCAAATGTTACAAACATTTTTACGACATGTTCATATCTTTGTGCAATATTGCCAGGATAGAAAAGCATGTTATTACAATGATATGTTTTAACATTCTAATACATATATGAAATTCTTATATAGATTTATGATTGGAGATGTCATTCTGTAAATATGTTTCTTGTATTGGTTAATGAATAAAGCACTGTTGGCTAATAGGAAAGCAAATTAGGTGGGACTAGGAGACTGGTAGGAGAGAGGAAGTGAAGAGGTAGAGAGTCAGCATGTAGAGTCTAGAGAGAAAAGACATCCAGGCCCTCTCTCTGGTAATATGAGACCACGTGGAAATACTTAGATTAATAGAAGTGCTAGCCGATAAGAAACTAGTAACTGGCCAAAAGAATTATATCAAATATAGCATCTCGGTGTGTTATTTGCGGCTGGCACAGTGGTGGGACCAGGCCGGCAGGAAAAAAGTACTCAAAATAGATTTATTAAATGAATAACTATTTAGGTGATTTTATTTGAAAATCTCTAAGAGCACATAGGTATATGCATCAAGGCCTGGTAATAAATTTTTTGAGTAGCCACATTTTTGGGGAGATGAGTTAAGAGACTGATTTAGACAGAGTTTTGATGTTGCTGACTCACATTAGTATATACATAAAGCTCAGGTGTTCGGACTATTTTTATAATGCCAACTGAAACTGTCCTCATGTTATTTCTCTGTATTCTGTGGGTGATGAAAATGTGACTAGTTAGCATTTTGCTCTTGTCACCATGCCTTCTTTGACTGGTGCCTGTCATATTGGGCAGAACCATAATGGAAATATAGCAGTCCTCATCTAAATAACCTGAGTTGCTTGTGGCTTGGGATGTTTTATCACTGCAAAATAATTGAAACAGGAACTGTTGTGATACATTTGACTGAGTGGCTTTAATGTAACTGAACAATATTGTGGGAAAATTTGGAACTTGGGTTGGAAAACTGTTGAGTGATGTGGGCAGAGATTAATGGAACATTTTTGGAAGATGGAGAGTGCTGATAGTAAAGTGGACAGCCATGGCCCACTTCCTGAGGTCTTAGTGGACATTATGATGTCTATCTACAGTGAAAAGGAATCTGGCTGCTTTTGGCATGTGCTGTGAAAATTTGCTCAAGGCTGAATAAAAGGTAAAGTACTAATTTCTTGGACAGATGAAATTTTAAGAAGGTATACGGGCCAGGTGTTGGTTGCGCATGCCTTTAGGCCCAGCACTCAGGAGGCAGAGGCAGAGGTAGGTGGAACTCTAAGTTCAAGTCCATCCTGGTCTACAGAGCTAGTTATAGGACAGTCTCCAAAGCAATACAGAGAAACCCCGTCTCAAAAACCAAAACAAACCAAACCAACAATCAAAAAAAAAAAAGGTATACATTTCAATGTTGGTAACCAAAACTACTTTTGAAATGGGCATTGATTAATGTAGAGACTCATAACTTGTCAAATAGCTGAAAATAAGCAGCTATGAGTGTGCACCCCTAAATAGGACACATATTCTACAACTTCCTGTCCTAAGCCTCAAGAATCATTTGGAAAAAGAGAAAAAGATAAAAGATCCAGGAAATTAGTAGAAGTGCCATCAAGTTATATGTTCTTAATACCAACCAGCTGCTGAACATGTGAACTCCTAAACAGCTATGGTGGCATGCACAAGACCTGAACAATATCAAGCTAGTACAAATTGTGGCATGGATGGGTGATGAGGTGGCTGAAGCC